GAAGATGAGGAGGAAGTGGGGCGAGATGGGGATCGCAGGCAGCGCAGGGCAGCGTCGGCCAGTTTTTGAAGAGCAACAAAGCGCGGGGTGTCCGGCGGGCAGTGCGTGCGGGGGCAGGACGAAGGGAAACATGGGCAAACGAGAACAAGCGAGGGCGCAAGCGTCCTGCTGACGACGTCTTGGTAGACGCAACCCCCCTCTCTCACTCTCCGGGGCTTTAGAGTAGTAGTGAGTGGGAAAGGCCAGAAGCGAGCGGTCGGGGTTTCGGGGCTGGCTGGGCGTGATGCGTTATTCGTTCTCGACGCCAAGCGAGCATGTGCGCTTTTTCGCTAGCGCCGCGAGCTCAGCGGTAACGTCATGAAGATGGGAATCGCGTTGTTGGCCGAGCTGGTGTTTTGGGTGAAGGGTGAGGGGGGGGGGGGAGGGAGAGAGAGAGAGAGAGGGGGGGGGACGCATTTCTCTTATCGATGACCGTCTTGGGCAAGGTACCTTCGCTTCGGTAGTAATTCCATAGAGTACGAGACAGCACATGGCCGCACAGCACACAGCTCGCTTGATGCGTGCATGAAGATGTTTGGTCACCTGCCTACAACAGCAGGAACACAAGACCAAGGCTGTCCTGCGAGGCCAGTGCTCCGACCCGGTTCCATTGTCTGCTGGAGATGTGTCTGCTCGAGATGGGTCTGCTGGACATGCGCCTGCTCGAGACGATGCATCGTCTGCTCAAGACGAGCAGAAGAGAACAGACGGATAGGCCGGAGCCAAGTTGCGTCGCACGGCACGCACACGGCCCCACCGGTTCCCCACCAAGCCGAGCGTCTCGGCAGTGTGTGCTCCACGAGTACGTACCTACGAGGTACGTACTCGTTACCTACGAGGTACCCAGGTCTAGCTCTTTTGCCCCTGCCTCTGCAACTGCAACCACAAGCACCTCACAGAAAGCACCAGCATCTGCACAGCATCCATCCACCCACCGGCCATTGAGCGCGACAACCTCCATCGTCGCCTGCAGCCCGTCTCGAGTGCAGCCATCACCATGCCACGCGCCATCCGAGGTACGATGCCCACGATCCCCTGCCTCGCCAGCTAGCCATCCAGCGAGCCATCCCGCCAGCCATCCAGCGAGCAATCTAGCCAGCCAGCCAGACAGACAGACAGACCGCTAACAGCACAGGCGTCCTCGTCGAGTGCGATCCCTCCATCAAATCAATCATTGTCAACATTGACTCGTCCAACCACGACTTCATCATTGAGGACCTCGACGACCAGCGCGTCGTCGTCAAGGAGAACATGGTCGGCGAACTCAAGAGGCGCCTCGACGACGTGCGTCCACCCTGCTCTTTCCCCTGTGCTGTCTTGCCCGTATCCGCCGTCGCTGACATGAAACCCGCCAGCGCCTCAAGGAGACGCAGCAGATTGTCGAGGACTCGGGCTCGGAGTGAAGCGACCCTGACTACCTGGCCGGCAACGACCCCCGGTTCCGACGACGACCACCTGAACCTACACAAACAAGCCGGAAAAGCCCAACCGCCTACCGATCACGCGAGCTGTGGACGGGCGCTGTGGACGGGCGTGGTACCTACGACAGACGACGGATGGGAAAAGGAGAGTGGTATGACACATGGATATCTGTGGCACCGAGAGGCACGTCATGATGGGCATCGCAAAAGGGCATTCCATGAGGGCATCCCATGAGGGCATCCCATGAGGGCATTCCATGAGGGCATTCCATAAGGGCATTGCATTACACACAACGAGTCGCCTAGAGCTTCTCGAACCGCGGCTGCTTCTTCGTCAGCCCCGACTGCAGCGCCGCCGCAAAGTCGCCAGACTGCAGCGCCGCCGCGTTCCAGACCCCCGTGTACCGCAGACCTGCCCCAACCCGTTAGCACAGAGTTCAGATAGCCCCAGGGCAAGTCGCCGCAGCGGGACGATGGCACAAATAGAAAGAACAAAAGGAGACGCCACTCACTGTCCGCGATCGTGTTGTCTTGGCATGGTTCAGGAGCTCCTTGGTCCCCTGCACGGCGACGGGGCTCTTGGTCGCGAGGCGCGCCGCCATCTCGAGGCCGGCCTCGAACGCCGCCGCCTTG